TTTATCTACTTTTTAATTTCTTATGTCTGAGAGTTTTTGTAGAAAGTTATTTTAGTAGGTTTCTGTTGGTCACTCGTGTCTCAATTATCAAAACTAACAATTAAAAATGATTAAAAATTAACCAATTTTTAAGTTAGGATAATAAAGTGATAAGCATAGTATACTCTAAACCTGAATTATAAATTATCTTTTGTCAGAAAAAAATCTTTTTAAGATATTCGTTTCTCCTGTGGTTGGGTTCCTTAAAGTAAATTTATAATCATGAAAGAAAAAAAGTCTCAGAGGGAGAAAAAGATAGCAAATTCTTCAAATAAATACCTGTGCTGTTTTGTAATTTCAAATATGAGTTATGTTTGATTAATAATACATTAAAATATGATTTCATCCTCTTGGAATATAAAAAAAACAGAAAATTCAAGCTTTGGAGGAAATATTTATTCTATCAGCAGGTGTCATCTGCAAAGTTTATCAGTTTACAATTAGGAAGGATTATGGGCCAAAGAGAAGTTTTTACAAAATGATACAATAAGGCTATGATCCAAGTCTCAATAGATTTATATAAGAAAAAAAATAGAGACTAAATCACTTTTTTAGTTATGGGAAAATGAGGAAAAAAAGCAAATCAGAGTATTTTCCCACTTCATGTACTCAATTTGGGCATTTCTATTCTTCGTTCCAAGCCATTTCTTTCATCTTGAGAATATGAGAAAATTAGAATTGTACTATTGAGGACACACAAGGAATTTAATCTTGAAAGAAGTTAACTACAATGATGCATTATTTCAGTACTTTGATATACAAATCAGACAGATATTGAGCTTTAAAAAGCATAATATTGTTATCACTTTAAATTTATTTAGGGGATGAAAGTTTATTGTGGGAAGGAAAACACATTTTTGAATGACTCACCAGTGCAAATATACTGAAGCCAGCACACACCTCTGATGCGATTTGATGGAAGTTGTCAGTTACCTGTATCTGATAACCCATGCTCCAAGAAACCACGGTGAGAGCCAAGAAGTAGAACCATTTTGTTATATCCTACATTTATTTAATTAAGCAAACCAAATGTGTAGAGATAGGAAATTAATGTGTTATGTTTTACAAATACAGAAAGAAGACGCAGAATGTTAAGACCCTGAAGAGAGTGCATCTGAGGACGCAGTTCTATCACAGGAGACCACTTCCAGGGATCACATTAAAACCATGGCCGACGTGCCCATCTGTCATTCTTGACATCGTTCCAGTAGTTTCAATAGATAAATCAGAGATTTGCTTTTAAACAAATATAAATACTAATGATTATGGTAGCCTTGAAGGGTTTGTGAATGACTATACTATACATATGTGATACTAGGCTTAATGTGTTAGTTCAGTGCTGTTGTACATCGTGCAGGGGGAAATAATGTCTCATTACACATTTACTGTGACATCCACTAAAATGTGAACTAGTTTGCATAGGTTAGTCCTTTGGGCAGCACGATGTTGCTCTGGTCCACCAAGGCTTAAAGATTCACAGTGTAGAGGAAAAAACATGAATTAAAGCATTTCTACTAAAATATATTTTAATAGCTGGTGTTAACAATTTGCATAACAAAAGCCAAATTATATTCATCATAACATGGTATCCATTCTGTGAGCTCCTTCATTTACAAAACATTAGATGTTCCCTCCAAAACTGTTAATGCATTCAACATTAGTACAGTCTTGCAAATTAATCAACTACAATTCTATATATTTTGAAGCAAATAGATGCCAAACTGCACAATGATTCAATTTTGCATTTTTATCACAGGTCAAAGATCAACAGTTCCATGTCGTGCCCGTCATATACTTGGTGCTGCTTCCTAAATGCCCAGTAATTCATTGTATGGACACTGAAGAATGGAACTGTGACACAGTTTTCTCTCTTCCTTTAAAATAAATCATTCCTAACAGCAACTGGATTACAAAGAAGTATATACTATGCAAACTGGATACCACATAGCAAACACAAGAAAAGCATATGGAATTCCCATGAATATACTGAAGTAATATGGAAAACTGGGGAGGAAATTGGCCTGGGTATTCTTCCAGGCTATGGATTTCAGTAGTTTAAGCATCATGGAAAGATGACCACAGAAGCATCATACAATGCCTTGACATTTTCAGTCATCAATAGTTGTAGACAATTGCCTGGAAAAGGTCCATGGAATACTTCAGAAAGAGACTTTGATTTTAGCATCTTTAAGTTAGTTTACCTAGCTTCACATTTAACTAAAGCTCTCTCACCTCCATGTCACATTATCCCAAACAACCACAATCTAGCCACTTTTAGATTATCAGAAGCTAATAGCTAAGGTATAATTAACTTATGAAGTTCATCTCGTGTAGTGAATTCGGCCTCATAACATAATTATTCTATCTTACAATAGGTATTTTAAATCCCAAACCTAAAGTTAATGTTTATACATCTCAACTATATCTAAACCCACAAAGAACCTTTCAGAAATGGAAGAAGTCAGCATTTTCTAAAGTTCTAATCCTTTACAGGTAAACGCCCATCAGCTATCACCTTTAATATCTGTCAGGAGTGTCCCCAATTTTCACCATAAAAATATTAATCATGTGTAATAAAATATTACTATAGAATAGGCAGAAACTTGCTTTCTTGGTTTTCTTTCCAAGACCATAATGGACAAACAAGGGTAATCAAAAAAAAAAAAAAAGGCACCTATTTTTTGTATATATCTGTATTATAATTTTGGTATAAACTTTATCTGCTTTATATAGGGATATGTTATTAAAGATCACATGTGTGTTTTCTTTATCTTTTCATTAAAAATATTCCATTGGAGATGGGTGAACCTAAAAATGAGGTGTACCTCTTGATTTCCACTATCTCTTTTAGAAAAGTGTATTTTCCTAACTCCCAGAGTGTTGCAAAACTCAGCACAGAGAGGATAAGGAGAGAAAGACTGCTAAATCTGGCAAAACCATATCTTCATCCTCTCCAAGCAATATACCTAGAGGCCAGAGATGAGCTGGCCTAATCTCACCCATATTTATACAAGGTGTCTCTGGAAGTTGTGCTTACAAATTCCCGTGTAGTCTATAGGGGTCGGGGAGGCCTGGGGAGATGTGGGGTCTCCATGGAGACCTGACATCCAGATAAATATTTCAAATGGGGCTACCCTGCAGGTGTGTAAACAATAAGGAGAAGACACGAAGAGTTCATTTTGCCATAGGATAGAAATAGAAAGCTTTCTAGAGAACAAGAATTATTAGTAAAAACATTTACTACAAAAGCTTACATACAACCGAAGCAATATATTCTGTTGCTATCCTTTGCTCAAGAGAGAGGTGATCCACATACAGTTTTGTTTTCAGAACCTTTTAAAAGTGTATCAAACTGCTCCTTGTGCTTTTGTCAGGCTTGAGAACACATCACATTTAGAAAACCAGGTGCATGCTCTCTGTGCTTGGGCCTTTGCACAGTCATCTTTAACTTAATTTTTAAGACTTGCTTTTCAACTTCTCTTTAGCTGTCGGTGTTATGTATGAGATACTTGTTGCCAAATGAAGGTGGGGAGGAGGCATGTGGAAAGTGGAAAAGTTGTTCAAGAATGTAATTTTTTAAATGATGCTGTAAAAATAGCACTTTGGTATTACACATATATGTTTCCAATATTTCTGCTGAGATGCTTACTATCCTGACAAGCTTTAGTGATGACTGCAAACACTACCAAATTATGACCCCAAGAGCATGCAACATCTTGTCTGCCTCAGTCTTCGTTGTAAAATAACTGCCTTTTAGTTAAATTCTGATCAGATCTTAATTCCTAAAGGCTTGAGGCAGAAACATCTTGCTATGCAAACATCTTGCTATGCAAACATATGTGAAGCTTAAAATTTTAGGAGATTTATTCCTCAAATATGCATTGACTTTTATATTCAATGAATCTGATTTTGAAATCAGTGGATGAAAAAACAAGAAACACCAAGCTGCTATTTTATGGTCACTTTCCTAATTACGAGCATTATTTCAAGTCAGTTTCCTCTGTGCTTTCTATAAATGTGCTATTTATCAAAAACTTATACCGGTCCTACACTCGGTCTGAAAATTTGATAAACAACAACTCTTTTTTATAATCACAAAAAGTGGCCTGGTTTGGTGAAATGTAAGTAATACTTAATACAACAAAATTGAGCAGGCCTACTGCTCTCGGTTTTAATACACAGATTTTTGCAAAAATATCGCAAGTTCAGTTTGTCTTTGTAGGTTTGTGTATAAGACATCAAAACAAAGATAGGTTTTAATCAATTAAATTATGACTGGCCATTTCAATAAGAGGAAAATCAGTCAAGCTAGTTACCTGGTAATCTGTAAAACTCCCTCTAAAAAAATCTCAGGTTATTCAGCTGAATTTTTCTTTTTGCAATTTTATGTCAGTGTCATATAGATGCAGCTTTAGTGTAATAAAGCTTATTTGCTCTTTTATCCTAATAAAATAAAACAACAGATTTTCATTTGTATGTGCCAAATTTCCAAAGGTGTAAATGAATGAACTATGGCCTTTGGACTAGCAAATATTTCAATAAAAGATGTTTTACAGGATATTTTGTTAATTTCCTTGAATATATCATCCAAGGTAGATATCCCCAAGAATCATACATTTTAGTACATTTTTGTAACTTTGCTTTTTCAGTTTCATCACAACTATAAAGTCAGACCCCACATGAATGCTACCCTGTTGCAGGTCACGATCAGAAAAATATAGAATTGTCGCTGGGCATCAATGTGTCG